CGCACAGAGCAGATCTGTTGGCGTGACCAGACTCAGGCGTGTAATATAAGGGTAGACGGGTTTGTCCTAATTGATCGGTTTGCCTCCCCAACCCTGATATTGCCCTACACCAACTTGACGGTGCTATCCTGGTCGGCAGCCCACGCCACGTGGCATCCACGGTTCAATTGTCGCTGGTGTCGCCAGGGAGACTCTTGGTCCTGGCGACGGCTGGTCCTTGGGTACGAGGGAGCTGCGCGTTTTCCCGAGCTCTCCCGTGGTGTGGGTGCGCGACCTGCTCAATTTCGAACTTGGTTGCCGGCGGGCCATCCCGCCGTATCGCCTCCCGTGCAGGAGGGTCCTCGCGGGCTCGACGAGTCCGACGCAGAGGCCTGAAGGCCTCGAACCAACTACCTATACGACTAACCCATCGCAGCGCAACGCGGAACGGAGGTCTCCGCCCTCCGCTGCCCTGGCCTATTCACCCTAGTGCTTTTTCTCGTTCTGATTCACTACGGCCATTCCGGTTTGTGGGACTCCCTTTATTCCGCGAGGAGGCGTATTTTCCCCCTCGGAAGTCCGCGGCGATGGTTCAATTCCTTGGCAACCTCTGGCCCGAAACCAAGAGATCCCCGTTTCGATCGGGTGACTACATCCCTATGGCCAAAAATCCTCGGCCACACCCCCAACAACTCTGATCGGCGCGCAAGGGCACGCTACGCCGCACGTGGTGTGAGGTTGCGCGTCACAAGCACTCTCTTTCCCGTGATCCCCTCTTCCCCCAAAGTTTATTATTTGAAATGGGGGACAGCCTTTTCATATGTTTTGTCTTTTGTGCATATGGAGAGTAGTTCAGCAAGGCCCAATGGTGAAGGCTTTCCTTTCTCGAACAGAACATGGAAGTGAGTGTAACTTTCCATGTTCTTGTGGAAAGTTCATTGGATTTGTTGAATTCCACTAATGGAGAGCAGTGCAGCGAGGCCCAATGTTGAAGGCTGAAGGCTTTCCTTTCTCGAACAGACCATGGCCATCTGGTGATGCAGGGTTTTGCTACCGTAACTCTAGCCTCGACACGTGGAAGGTACTTACTCAAACGTTTTCTTCTTTTTTTTTGCCCTCTCCCTTTTTGCTTTTGGTTCACAGAGGAGTACTCACAGAGCCACAGACCACCTTAGACAAAAGAAGGTGAACATGTGCAGCCAATGGGGAAGCACCCAGTTCACCTCCTGCCTCAATAAAACCAACCTGCCTCAATAAAACCAACGTGAAAATGAAGAGAACGAGAATGGCCTTGCCCGACGATCCTTGGACATTGGCGGTGGCAAGGAGTGTCACACAACAGGGAGGTCCCCATTACCAGAACAGGAGCAATGTTGGTGGGACTTGGCCCCCGGGCCTCTCCGTTGTGACCCGAAAATTGCCTCAAATTTTAGGATTTAAGGTCATCAGGTCCCCGTGTGAGTAAGCCCTGAGTTCCTAGGCTAGCAGAGAGGCCTGGGACCACTTGCCCGGTGAGGCAAAAGAAAAAAAGTGTAGAAAAAAAAATCATTTTTAATTTGATTTTTTTTCTTTCTTTCTATATTCTTCTCTCAACTTCTGTTTCTTTACCTTCCACTACCTACTCCTAAGACTATCTAGAGGGGACCCCTGCAAGCATAGTTTCCTCTCTCTGTGAAGGGGAGATTTCATGTTGCCCCTTGCCCTAATCGTTAGGGTATAGGGTTGGGGCCGCCAGTGGGGGTCTGGCTAACAAAAAGACCGAGACCTGCCAGTAGCTGTGCCTCCCTTTCTCATCGTCCCCCACCCTTCATCGAGTAGCAGCAGAGGCTATGGCCAACACTCTCCCACAGACCACACACAACCCACTTGCGCCCACACTCACACCCGTGTTGGTCATAGAACCCGCTATGACCAACACGGGCGTGAGTGTGAGCGCGAGTGGGTTGTGTGTGGTGTGTGGGAGAGTGTTGGCCATAGCCGCTGCTGCTACTAGATTTGGGAAAGATTTTTTTTTTTTTTTGCTCATTTGATTACGCACACCAAAAGAAGAGGCCGGTCAGTAGTCCCCCCTCGAGGAGTATTCTCTCCGTTTTTGTTTTTTCGCTTTCAAATTGATGGAAAGCCTGCGTTGACTTTGGGCGTAGCCACTTTACGATCCACGTGGGGCTGCCGACAATGAGTGGCAACCTGCATCCGTTACTACGCATCTTGTCAGCTTTCTGGGGAAGATACACTCGTACTTTTTTTTTATTTTTATTTTTAAAGGCTAATCTGGACAGGACTTTTCTCTCTTCGCGGGTGGTTTGGCGAGGCCCTCTATTGCTCGTAGGAAAAAAGGCCGGCAATGGGCCTAGCTCCAATACTCTCGACGTGCACAAAACACTGAAAATATGGCAGTGTATCTTTCGATGTTCTAGGGGAGGATTCTGTCTCATTTTGCACATTTCCAGAATACTGGAGCGAGGCCCAATATTCCTAGATCTTCAATATTCCTACATCGTAGATCCCAACGAAAGTGCCAGCGGATACTACGCGCGGGAAGGAGCTCTGATGTGCACCACATGGCACACAGAAAACGAAATCAAAACGAGTGGAGCGAAGGCGGGAACGGCCAGCGGATACTACGCGCGGGAAGGAGCTGTTTTTTTGTTTTTTTGGCGGCAGGCAGTTCCGAGTTGCAGGTGTTGCAGAGGCGGGCCGTAGCGAAGAAGATGGCTGATGTGACGAAGGAATAAAAGAGATCCTAGACGACTCCCAGATCAAGCGCGCTCACAACCGTACGGGGCGATTGTCTTCTCTCGGCGCAAGGTCCGTGGTGAGCAGTGGCTCTGTGTACTCGCTTCAGCAATAGCTCACTTATTTTGCGTTCTGTCCTTTCATGACGTCCTTTTCCTATTTCCGGTCTACGGTCGAACTTCATAGCCGCATCTACCTTCTTCCTTCCATCTCTTTCCGGCTATCTCCTGCTTCTGGTTGTCTTCTTGCTTGTCTGCCTCGCCTTCCCGTGGGCGTGCAGAATCTGTTCAACCGAAGCTCACTCATTTTTCGTTTCCCCCTTTCGCTGCGTCATTTTCTATTTCCGGTCATCGAACGTCGTAGCCACATCTACCTTCCTTCCTATTCTCTCCGATCTCTTCCCGGCTTTCTCCTGCTTCTGGTTTTCTTCTTGCCTGCCTGCCCTGCCTTCCCGTGGCATGGACTAAATTATCCCATTCGATCTTTTTGGCATCTTCTTCTCTGCTTACGCTGTCTCTTTACGCGAAATCTGCAAATAGAAGTACCAAGGATAGACGTGATCCCGATAGAAAAGAGTAGGCAGAAGCGAGTGGGCAAATAATCCAGTGGAGAAGGGGTCGCACTCTGTTTACTTCGAGTGGAGAAGGGGTTTCTCTCTCTCTCTCTCTCTCTCTCTCTCTCTCTCTCTCTCTCTCTCTCTCTCTCTCCCCCCCCCTCTTTCTCTCTCTCTCTCTCTCTCTCTCTCTCTCTCTCTCTCTCTCTCTCTCTCTCTCTCTCTCTCTCCCCCCCCCCCCCTTCTTCCCTTTCGTTCTCGGGTGTTTGATTCCGTATTCGTCTCTGTGCTCCGTTCGCGTTTGTTTGTATAATTGGCGCGGCGTGTCTGGGGAGTGGTGATGATAACGCACTTTTGACCCGACTACGGTACCCAGTTTGGCGAGGTTTCAGATCTGATGGTCGTAATTTCTCGTAACGTAAACAGGAGAGACTGTATGGGTTCGAAAGGTCCAAGTCTCTTTGCGTGTAATGGAGGGACGCTCTCTGGCAGCGAACGGAATGGTGGAAAGATTCCCCAAGTGCCCCGGTGAACTGCTTATCGTTGCTGGGGATCTTCTGTATTTTCGGCAATGAACTGACCTCCTGTGTTAGTTGGAATTTAACTGTATTTTGGTTGCTGGGGATCTTCTGTATTATTGGCAACGACCTTCCGTTGTGTGCAATGACCTTCCGTCGTGTGCAACATTAGCTTTCGTCGTGTGCAAAATGTAGCATCGCGTGTGTTGGTTTTCCGATTGTGGCATGAAAGAGAAGCTTCCGTCCGTCCGGTTTCGCATTCCCTCCTCCTCCTACCTTTCTCTTGTTCATGTTCGTCCTTGATTTTCTCTTCCTCATGTTCGTCCTTGATTTTCTCCCTCCACCAGTTCGTGACCCTCTCATTCTCCAGACTCGCGCCGCCTCCCCTCTCTGTACTCCATTCTTGCTTTGACCGCTTCCGAGTCGCTGTCAACGTAGTCTATGTCGTGCTTGTGTTGCTGGTGTTGATGGTGACGACGAGCCTGCCTGGTCTGCACCTGAATCTTGTTGCCTTTTTGTCCCATCTTACCGTGCTTTTCGTCAACGTTTCCGTTTTGTATCGAGTAGCTGCAAAATCATGCGCTCATTTCATTTGCTGAGTGCGAGAGAGTGGTCTTGTCGTGTGCAGTTCAGCATTGTTGCGCAGTAGGCAGAGGTCATGGCGCCACATTTCCATCGGGTTGCGTAGTGGGCAGAGGTCATGGCGCCACATTTCCGTCGGGTCGAACAGAGGATTGCGTTCGGTTCTCGGACGTTCTAAATACTCCCCGTGTCTATCTTCGTGCTGGAATGTTTTCCTGCTCTAGACTTCCGTTCCGACTTCCAACCTCGCTATTTTACCGGAGTCGCGTTCGAGCTTTCCCCACTCCAGCTTCTCTTTGACTGCTTCAGTCTGAAATGCTGCCAAGGTGAGTGTGCGTGTGGCCACCGAATCTGCTGCGCGCCTGAAGCTCCTGGACCCTCGAGTGCCTGACCAACGTTTTGCGTCTCGCTCTTCTTGTCTTCCCTGTTTGATATCCTTTAGGTGTTGTATCTCTGTCGGCTGCTCGTAGCTTGTGTGGTAGGTAGTTCAGAGAGGTCGTAGAGCGCTGCGCGGTGGGTTCTCGACCAAGTCGTTCGTGACGCCATGACGCGTGTGGGCGGGCTCACTGTCGAAGGTGACCAATCGTGATACTTACTTGTCACATCGTTGCTTGTCTCTCCTGTTGCTGCAGGTTGCGCTGTTGGGAATTTGAAGTCGCACACCATAGCGTTTGAAGCGAAAGCAGTGCCAGTCGCAAAGATGGGTCGGTTTTCTGCGGCCTTGGCCGTTGCCAGCTTGGTCGTCCTGGCTTGCGCCCTCCATGTCGCGGATGCCAAGGCGCCATGTCCCTGCGCTCCTGGGACGAAGCGCTGCTGTAAGGACGGTCCCTGCCTCAAGTGCTGCAAGGATTGTGATTGCGGCCCCGGGAAGACGTGCGTCAAGGGAGAGTGCAAGCCGTCGTGCGGCTGCCCGGCTGGACTGAAGCGATGCTGTAAGGACGGCCCCTGCGTGAAGTGCTGCAAGGACTGCGACTGTGGCCCAGGGAAGAAGTGCGTCAAGGGCGACTGCAAGCCCTCGTGCTGCCCCGAAGGACTGAAGCGCTGCTGCAAGGACGGTCCCTGCGTGAAGTGCTGCAAGGATTGCGACTGTCCCAAGGGGCACAAGTGCATCCAGGGACAGTGCAAGTCCCCGTGCGGCTGCCCGACCGGGCTGAAGCGCTGCTGCAAGGACGGTCCCTGTGTGCAGTGCTGCAAGGATTGTGACTGTGGCCCCGGGAAGACGTGCGTCAAGGGAGAGTGCAAGCCCTCGTGCTGCCCGCTTGGACTGAAGCGCTGCTGTAAGGACGGTCCCTGCGTGAAGTGCTGCAAGGACWGCGAATGTCCCAAGGGGCAGAAGTGCGTCAACGGACAGTGCAAGTCCCCGTGCGGCTGCCCGACTGGACTGAAGCGCTGCGTTCCACTAGGTGCATGCGTGAAGTGCTGCAAGGATTGTGACTGTGGCCCCGGGAAGACGTGCGTCGACGGAGAGTGCAAGCCCTCGTGCTGTCCCAACGGACTGAAGCGCTGCTGTAAGGATGGCCCCTGCGTGAAGTGCTGTAAGGATTGCGATTGTCCCAAGGGGCACAAGTGCGTCCACGGACAGTGCAAGCCCCCGTGCGGATGCCCGCCTGGATTGAAGCGGTGCTGTGAGGGCGGTCCCTGCGTGAAGTGCTGCAAGGATTGCGATTGTCCCAAGGGGCACAACTGCGTCAAGGGACAGTGCAAGCTTCCGTGCTGCCCCAAGGGACAGAAGCGCTGTGTGCCCTGCGGTCCGTGCAAGAAGTGCTGCAAGGATTGTGAGTGTGCCACCGGGGAGAAGTGTGTCCTGGGAGAGTGCAAGCGCCCGTGCGCAAGCGCAGCGGTCACAACTATCAACAAGTAAGCCATGACGGAAGAAGCGCTGTAATGGGCGTCATGGTGGGCGCTCGGGAAGAAGTGTGTTCACTGACGGTGCAACCTACCTTGCGTGCACACAATGAGTGGTGAACGGATTGGTGCAGCACAATTGCTTTTCGTGTAGCACCATTAGCAGAAGCGGACGAAGCGCTGAGGCTGTCTGCAGTACGCATTGGTGCAAGTCAGCTTGCTTACCTTACTCTGGTTCACAACAACCGCGGGCTCGACAACTTCGGTTGAAGATTTGACAGATTTAGCGGGTAGGTTTCCTTCGTAGGAAACAATAGAGGATCTGCATCCGCCATGGTTACCGTGTTCGGTTTTCATGAGTCGTGACAAAGTAGAACTAGGCTCACCACCAACAGCCGAGCCGCTGAAGTTCGGACTACCAACACCGGGAGTTGTGCAAAAGGCATAGTGCACAGAGCGACGGCAGTGTGCTCTTGGTTTCCCTCGCAGTCATGGGTGACCATCTATGAGGCCTTGACACGGCTGTCCGTAATTGGCTGGTACAGAGAGGAGTCCGACCCTGTTCCTGTTTTCAGATTGTTAGCCTTCACCCCAGCAGATCGAGCCGTATCTGCTTTATTCCTTGCTCTCTTAACAACAATGAAATTAACTTCTCATTTTCGCTCGTGACCATTTCCGTGTTGTTGTCCGATTTCTCCCCACCTTGGTGTCGTTGATGGTTCGCTTGTCTCTACCCATATGTGGATGCTGACGGACTAAGGACGTGATTTGTACAATACCTCAGAGGGCCTGCTGATGGAATGCCTTCGCCTGCTCCCATGTTTGATGCGCAAACCCCTTGACTTGATCCCAGCCAGCCTTCACCCGAGCCTGCTTTTCCGGAAGGTGTGATTTGTAGAACCTATGGATGGAGACTCTTTCTCTGTCTTTTTCTTTATCTGATTCTCTTGTGGGAGAAATGCGCAATAATAATTGTTTTATTTCAATCGATTTTCAGCTCGGCAACGGTAAACCGGGAGCTGATGATGCCACTGTCGTGATGGAACGCAGTCTGGACAATGTATGTTGTTCAACGCTGACATGGGAATCAAGGAAAGCAAGCTGAAGGAAAAAGATGCGTAAATACCCGGTGTGTACAAAATTGCAGGGCTGCTTTTGGTGCTCGGCTTCTAGCCAAGGATACGGCCAGCACGTTCCATTCTGACGAATCTGCCCATGGATGACCGTTACCGTTATGAAC